TCTGACTGCTGCCACAGATTTCAGACCTTTGGACATAATGTCTGGTTTCAATGCAGATGAACTATACTTAAACCCAAGGTATAAGATTGTCTAGCTGCTCAAGATTTGCTGAATCATGGCAGCTCTACTTTTGGATTTCATTTAACCTTTTAGATCAGACACCAACAAATCTACACATATTGAAATTGTTGTCAATGACAATCACTGTTGAAATTACATTGTAAACTGGAATAAATGTGTTTGATGCCAGATTATATGTGTTCTATTAACATTTCTTAATGTAAAATTATCTTAAAGTAGGTTATCTGATTACATCACTGAATATGAGTAGTGAATTATGTTTTTGATTACAACTTCAAGAAGGAAATAAGAACAATCTGCAGTCTGGAAATCCGATATAATTCACTACTCAAATTCAGTGATGCAATCAGATAACCTACTTTAAGATAATTTTACATTAAGAATATGTAAGCTGAGTTGATAAAATTGAATTTTAAAACATTTTGTTGTACTTTTAAATTGTTAATGTACTTTTGTGCACTTGTGCATTGTTCCATAGCATGTCAACATTTGACCATTAATTAAATGGCTAACATTTTCACATCTGTCTTTTTGTCCCTTTAATTTTATGCCTCATGTTTAACACATTAGGTTGCAATATTAACACATTAAGTAGTAGATTTTGGTAATTTTCAATTACACATAATCAACATTTAACGTGTTGAAATGACACATTTTGTGTGTTAAATTAACTGACACAATTAGTGTGTTAAAATGGGTCACATATTGAATGTGTAAACATGTGTTGAAATCACACATTCTGTGTGTTAAATTATCTGACACAATTTGTGTGTTAAAATGGCTCACACATCTATTGTGTTAAATTTGACACAACATGTGTAGTCCCTGAGCACACTCGCTACATGTGTTAAAATTTTGCACGTCATTTTTAACACATCTGTTTTTGTGCATGTGTTATCTCAGTGATGGAAACTTTCATCCAGGTGCCAGTGACTTTATTCTACAGGACACACTGCAAATAGAAAAAGAAACAGTAGGAGTGTGAGTATCTGCTCCCTGTGCTGCTCTCTTAGACTGTTCATGTTATCACTGTGTTTACTTCCTGCTGTGTCAAGATTACAGCTTCAGTCACTTACATTACAGAGCTAATGCTGACACTTTGTGGTGAAAATAGGTAGTGCCCTACTGCAGGTGAAGCAGGAGAGTCTTTTAATGGTGACACAAAGCATTTTAGATTATATTATTGGGAATTAATGGTAATTGTTTTTAGGTATGGTCAGTTGGATCGCTTAGCCTTCTTCCATTTATTGTATCTATCAAACCTTCAGGAGCCACGTGCATTTCCATAGCACAGTGTCAGAGAACATGGCAATCTTTTTTTGGTTATAGTGGACTGACTCACCAACATTAGATCATCCTCCACTTCCGTCCCTTGGGTCTTGATGTGAGGAGGCTTCACCCTAAAGAGATCTCTGGGTCGTGAAGTTCAGCTCTGAGGAAGGTGTCACTCGCCATCGTCCCACAGCAGCCATCATTTATTTCCTGACAGCGCAGCTTTACAGTCAAATGCATTATTTGACAAATAAGCCACACTGCTCTCTGTTTATATAAATATCCTTTATACATTACATCCATGTTACATTCAAAAGAAATAGAAATACAGCCAACAGCAAAAGTCACATTCAAGTCATTTCTGTGCTGCGCATTGAGACGTCGTCACCCAGCCTCCTAAGGCACAAAATAAATCAAACGACCCATATCACCTCAGGTTGAGAACAGAACCCCAAATCCAGTCACAACCCCAAAAACCCCACAACCCAAACACCACAGGGCTCCTGGAAGCTCAACAGAATGGCATACAGATAGATCAAAACCACAATTTTCAACAGCTGTATTTATGCTGGCACAAATCATCTGAGGATCGAGTTCAAATGACATTAGGAAACATACATATTTGCTGCCTGCACTGTTGAGTGAAACTAAAACCTCGATTTCTTTTTGACATCAGTTTGTTTTGTGCTCATTTGCAATCTGAATCTCCGAGTCCTGCGTCCTCTGTCTGTCCAAATGCTTGCTGGGAAAGATCTGGTCTTCTAAAAGGTAGATATTATTTGTACAATATGTAAAACAGGTTAATTCCAAGGAAACACAGTGATAAAAACACAAAGCTTTCTTCTCAGTCCAGCAATTTTGGAACGATTCAGTCTGAAATTCAAAACTATGAAAGCCTATTTATGTCAATGTGATGAAAAAAAATAATGAAAAACTTTCTCGAAATAATGACTTGGTATCCGAAAATAATGATTTTATTTTTTAACAAGTAATATTCATACTGTTTTCACAAATTTCCCATCGTAGCTGAGCAACAGTTTTGTTTGAAAGGAATTAAAGGCCTGTCCCAAATATAGGCCTGCTGATTTCTGCGAGTTCGGCAAATAATAGCCCGGGCTACTAATTGAAGTTTAATGGTAAGCTGTTATTGTGAGAGTTTCTCATTATACTGAGATTCTAAGTCATTTTCTTTTTGATACGTTAATCCTGATTTTTGAGATACGAACCATCTTGGGGAAAAAAAAAAAAAAAAATCACATTACTTTAAGATACTAACTTATTTTGAAAAAGTTCATCGTTATTTCATACACACTCTTTATTTCAAGATACTGAATCATTATTTTTGAGAAAAGTGAGTCATTATTTTTGAGAAACTAACTCATTATCTTGAAAAACAAAATCTTAATATTTTGAAATACTAACATTTTGGAGACGTTTATCATTATCATGAGATATGTGATTATTTCTAAGATATGAACTCACTGGTTGACATAATAGGTCATTATTTTGAGAAAAGTGAGTCGTTATTTTTGAGATACTAACTTACTACCTTGAAAAAATTTTAACGTTAAATCATTATTTTGAATAAAGTTTCTCATTATTTTGAGATAAGTCATTATTTTTTGGATAAGAACTCATTATCTGAGCTACTCAGTTATTATTTTGAGATATGAACACATTTTGAGATACTTCGTCTTAATTTTGAGATAAATTAGTCATGTTATTTTCAGACACTAAGTCATTATCTTGAAAAAGAAAAGGTCATTATTTTGAAATGCTAACCTTTTTTGAAAAAGTTTCTTATCATTTTGGGATTCAAAGTCCTTACTTTAAGACACGAAGTCATTATTTTTGAGATGCTAACTCATTACCTTGAAATTTTTTTGATGTTAAATCATTAATTTGAAAAAAGTTTCTCTTTTTTTTAGATGCTAACTCATTTTGAAAAATATTTACATTATTTTGAGATATAAACTCATTATTTCATCATGATAAGTCAATATTGTTATCTTGAAAAAGAAAAAAGTCATTATTTTGAGACACATTATTTTGAAAAAGTTTCTCATTATTTAGGGATACAAACTTAAGATACTGAGTCATTATTTTGAAATACAAACGTATTATTTTGAGATAAGTAAGTCATTTTTTCGAGATAAGTCATTTTTAAAGTGATTCAGTAAAAAATCTCATTGTTTTGAGACACTAAGTCAGTATTTTGAAAAAAAAGGTGCTCAGTATTTTGAGATACTAAGACATTATTTTGATAAAGTTTCTCATTACAATGACCTACTGGATCTTTTTTTTCCATGGCTTCCATGTGAAGCTATACAAATTCTTTCAGTATAGTTCTAAACCTAGAATAACACCATACTTAAATTTGCATTGAAAGTTAGCATTTTAACATGCTTAACATTACATAGAACATAAGTAATCATGTTCATGTGGTGTTAGACACGCTGTTGTGTGACTGTGAGGCTCTTCACACAGTACAGCCCAAATACAACTGTGGGTTAACAAAGTAAGGCTAAAACTGGCAACAGGACAGCTGATGAGAATTGTTTCGCTAATTTAGCCCGGCATCGTGTCCATTAGGGGTGTAAATCACCAGCTTCATCACGATACGATATTATATTGATTTGTTTGGATGACGATACGATGTTTGCCGATATCACAAAGTCTGTCACGATACGATTTTGATTTGATTCGATTCAGGAGCCTGCGATCGATATGACGCGATATCATATGCCCATCTAACACAATCATTTACATCAACTCACAAAAACAACTAGAATATCATTTGACCATTTTATTTCTGAGATCTGTTTGTTTGAGCAGAGGCGCGCTTGCCTAGAAATGGTGACACAGACGTGCTATATGAATTTCAAAATAAATGTGTATCTTTAAAATGACAATATGGATCGATGTTTTCATTTTGCATCGATATAATCGGATCGTTAATCAATGAATCGATGAATCGATGTATCGATGTATCGATGTATTGATGTATCGATGTATCGTTACACCCCTAGTGTCCATGTTAGCCGAGTTCTGTTTCTGAGTTCTGTGTGCCTTGACCAATTTTCATTGGCCACAGAAGCCGTAGTCCAGGTCAAACAGATACGTCAATTTAAGAGTTTCTTTCTTCTTTAAGTCTGGATTTCATGTAATGTATTTAAATCACCTTAAGCTGAAATCTTTTCAACCCAACTGGACTTCCTCGGCTCAGTTTAATTTGAGCTGCCTGGATCAAATGTGCATTGAATTAATGTGCAATAGTGCCACCTCTTAAATTCACTGAGTCTGAACACAAAGTCTACATTAGTGGCAAGTGGCAAGCATCCTCCAATAAACACTAAATAACACTATTTTACAGACCTGTAGTATACTGATAATTTGGTACCAATTAAAAGGACCTTCACTGGACCCCAAATAATCCCAGGTACATTTTCATTCATTATGTATTTTTGGAAATTGGAGGTGTACCAACTGAAAACCGCCTTCATTCTCCCAAATTCAATTTTTCCTCAAGGAACCATTCAATAAATTCACATATCAGATCCTTTCTACAAAATTATAGGAAACTATGGTACTGTAAAACTCAGGTTTACCAGAATACCTGAAGATATTTTTGAGATATTTTGTTTCAGTTTTGTTTCACATCAGACTTTATGGTGCGTTCATGTCATGTGGCAACTTGTTCACATCAATATCACAATCATAATTACAACCAGGAGACTCATTTTGTGTGAGAACTCCCACATACCTGACCCAGAGCTAAACAATGCAGAAAAGTCTAATAAAAGCAACTCTGCAATCCTGAACCATCATGTGATGATCTGAATGGTCACAAATCGTATATCTGATCTTCTTTCTCATCACTACTTTCTGTCCTACGTGACATGAATGTTGCATAATGGTCTGGAGGAAGCAAGGGTAGAGGTGAGTGTGGTTCAAAATGAAACATAAAGGCAACAACACCACATGTGAGTTCATTTATCTGTTGAGATTGTTTTGAGGACCGGCCCCAGAGCACACAAAGAATTCTAACTCATTCAGAAAACAACAGGAGAATCTAAAAAAAAGAAACGCCAACAGATTGTGTAATATTATAAACTGCTCAGAGAAGCCCAGATTGTTCCCACCGAGTGCAAACCATCAGATGCTTTGTTCCTGCATAAATGCCTGTCGTTACACCGATGTTACACGAATGACGACCTCTCCTGAGTCATTGTCCTGGCTGAGATTGTTTCGGGGCACCAGGCCGGGGCAGAAGGGGGCCAAACAGAGGCAGGTCCATGGCTGCGGCCCCAGCTGGGTGGCGTGTAAGGGTCCGTTGGGCCCAAAGGTGGCCAGAGGCAACCAAAGCGTCCTGGGGGCCAACGAGGAATGGCCAGTGCTCGTCTCCTCCATGTCCTTTGCTTTGTCGTAGCTCTGAACGTCCCAATGGAGGTTGACGGCCCGCCAGCGCATGAAGACATTGTACACTGCTGCCCCCTCGTGGACAATCAAGCCTGTTGGAACAAAAACATTAAGGGAGTGCTGATCTTCTGATACTGTCACATTTTTAGGTATCTAAAGGTCAGTGTCAAGCTCCAGGAAATATTCTGAATTGGGTACTGAAATTAATCATTTTTCTTCAACACGCTTCATCTTCGTCTTCTACCTCAGTTTATGGTTTCTATGATTTGAAGAACAGCTTTAAACAATTCCCAGACAGTTATTATGAGTGATTTTGGTGGTCAAATGTGAAGGTCACTGTGACCTGGTCCATCTCATTCTTGTTAGGATCTTATCCTAAGATATGTATCATCCTATATCTTTGGACGGACTTCTAGCCAGAAGTTCAGCTGGTTGCAATGTGACATCCTCACCACTAGATGCCACTGGATCCCCCTAAATCTCACACACTGCTCCTTTAATGTTGCATAATTTGCTAGAACCTAAAAAAAAGAGGGCTCAGGTATAGGCCACAGTGTAACACACTACATCCACAGCAGTATCATAAAGTGCAATTATGTGTCAGGTTATAATGGGTGTTGTTCACACCTGTATAAACATGAGTGGATGTACAGTAGGCTGGTAGTCAAGCAGCCTGTGAATGACGAGGAAGAATTCATGAAACAGTTGATGCCAATAACCAAATGCAAGCTGTGATTTCAGCACTCTGCCTGAACTAACGCTATGCTCTATCTGTGCTATAGATTTTGTCTTGTGTAACCTAGATAGAGGAAAAAAGGGTGCAATCATCTTCTTTTCCAATGCACAAATAAAATCAAGGTTTCACAGAGGGTTTGAACAGTTTAAAAAATCTGAACTAGATCCTACTGGAAGTCCAGGTTTTCCAACTTTAAGTTCTTTAAACTTCAAATTCGTCACATGACTCATGACTCCAGGCTCACCTACGCAGACCAAGTCCATGAAGCCGTACATGCCGTAGCAGATCTGGAAGAGGACGTCACGTCGCTGCCAGACGGCCTGCGGGCTGAGAGCCGACCACAGCAGCCAGGAGATGCTGGCCACCAGGAAGAGGGAGCCCAGGAACACAGCGATGATCTGCACCTTCTCCACCAGGGTGATGGTGATGGACTGCCACTGCACACAGAGCGGAGAGAAAACCCACGTGACTGTCACTAAAAACATTTTCTGATCTGCTCTGGGTAAGGGCTGGTTAGGTTTGTGACGATATGTCAGTGTTGTGTTTACAGCTTGTTTCCTCTTCCCCCAAGGCACCAAAACAAAAGTTAGCAGGTTTAAGGGGTCAGAAAAACAAACTACTACTGAAAGAGCCTGTCCTCTCTACTGTCCTACAGGCAGCTGCCGACCTGACAGACAGGACCCTCGCCTGACTGGAAAACCACATCAACCAGAACTGGACGGGTTACATCACAATGCAGGAACACAAAATCAGGAGGACAAGAGGAGGACAAAAAGTCACGGAGAGAACAGATCTGTGTGCCAGAGCCAAATCATTAACAAGAGAAAATAGGAAATGGGAGAGCGGGGGAGTTGAAAGCAGAAAGCATAGAATAAACAGCTCGGAAAGAGAAAATAGTTAATGCTGAGTGGATGATTGTGGAGCTGCACGGTGCTCGTTTCAGAAGAAAAGACTTTAGGCAGAGTGAGTGGACAGAAAGCAGAGCTCTGCTGAGCCTCAGCTGTGTTTGTTCAGTCTGCCAGTGACTCAAGTCCCATCTGGAGTGAACAGATCTGAAAAGGCCTGAATGTTCTCCAGTGAAAGAAACGATCCAGGATGCAGATATTTTAAGCCACAGGAGTGTGTGTCTGTTCAGCTTTAGAGGACTGAAGGAATTCTGACACTCCAAACTGACAGAAGAGACCAGAAGAGAGCACAGACTCAGTGATTCAGCAGGTTCACAGTCCACGCTATGTTCACCTCGAGCTTCCAAACTCTTTACTGAATTATTTTAGATGCACTGTGGCTTTCTCAATTTAGCAGAGCAGGAGCCTTTAAAAGTACAATTTTGTGTTGCACTGTCTTCTAAAAACATCAAGGGGTGGTCAAAAATCAGAGCAGCAGAGGCAGAAATGTCCTGAGTTACATGGCGAAAGCTTCAAAAATACTGAATGCGACATTCCCCATAATGCACCCTGCCTGTTAAATGCTCACCTCTTTAAATGCCACACCACTAGTTTGTTACTCAGGTTTTCTGTTCTTGTTGAAAATTTTAAAATACTTTCCCAGCGAAAATTGATGTAGGCAATTAATTTAAATGTATTAATCACAGAGCATGTAATTATTTACATTTTTTAAATCACTTGACAGCCCTAGTTACCAGCCAATGTCAGAGGACAAACACAAACCACAGAGATATTTCACTCCAATTCTTGTTTTTTGTTGTTGGTGTTATTAAAGACTTATGTATAAGGCTTTAATAAATGTATAAACCATTAATAGAGTTATTAGTTAAAGGGTGTCCTTATAGAAATGGGTATCAAAATTTCAAACCTGTCATAACTGATTTTTTGGCCACATGGGGGCAGCGTTATAAGTTGTATATCAACCCAGCTGCCAGAATAAATGTTGGCATTGTACCTTTCTGCAAACCATGGATAAATTACTTTGAATGTTATTATGCTGCAGATACATCTAAACTTTAATTCACAAAAACATTATTGTTAACATGTAGTAAGGTTTAAAGGGATAGTGCACCCAAAAATCAAAATTCAACCATTATCTATGCTGAGGGAGCCCATGTCTCACGGTCTCGCGCAAGCGCGCACAGGTGAGCACGGTGCTCAGAGAAGCAGTTAAAGCTACAGGCTGCAATGAGGCTAGAAACAGAGTTCAAATGACGTTTTTCCAAACAACTTTTTATGTAAGGTCTTCAGAACACTTGGATCACTACGGACGAGCAGTATGGAGATATTTTGTGGTTTCAATTATGTGTTTTTGGACGTTTGAATCTGGGATGCCATTAGCCTCCATTAGGTGGAGTTTTGTTGCTACCCACTCTCCCCTTGGATCTGAGCAGTTAATGGGTGAATTTTCATTTTTGGGTGCACTATCCCTTTAAGCACAAAGGGCACTCGGTAATGGCTACATAAAGATCATATTTTGGCTTAAAACACCCAGTTCTGGGGGCACAACCCCCACTGGAAATGCAGCAATGTGTCGGTAAAACGCAGCCTCTTTCTGTGGTACTACCCCGTCTGGAAAAACAGCCGCAAGTCGCTACAAAACACCCACAAAGGTGTGTTCGCTTGCTGCGGCAGGTGGATTATGAATACAGTTCATCTTATGTTTTTGTTTCTGTTTTTCACTGTTTCATCACTGCAAATGCAACTGTAGCCAGTATCTCCTGATCATTATCCTCATTTATATTTTAAGAAGCTATAAATTATATTCAGCCACAAAATAAGTCTGAAAAGCTGCAAATCAGAACGGAAGTACAGAGAGTTGTTGCATAGAGATGATACACCATCTCATCTAGTTGCATTGGTGTGAACTGGCAGGTGTTTAGAACATTGCAAGTACTTGCCTGTTTCAACGCATCATCTCGTCACGAAATTTGGTCTAAACTGGCTTCACTGTAAGGCTTTTTTCACATATAGTCCTAAAACAAACTGAACTCAGTCCTCTTAGAGTGGACCAAAAAGTGGACCAACAGAAAAGGGACTCAGTTCTTTTTGTGTTCACATTGTCAGTTCATTTAAAGAGGACTCAGTTCTCTTTCTGGTCAACTTTAGCTCTGATGGGGCCTCAGTCTTCTCACTGTTCACACTATAGCCTATATAACCTTCCACAGACCACACTACTCCTCGGCCTGCGTCCTTGCAAGCGTTACAGGCTGACTTGGTTTTGTCTATTTTTTGAAGCATCCCAGTGCAACAGCATGTGATAAAGAGGGCTGAATACAATGGCAAAGAGCAAAGTGAACCTGGAGCCCTCTGTGTTCACAAGGCACAGGCTAAGTGAACCTCACCATAAACTTGAAGCAAACCGAAGTTCAGTTCATTTTAGAGGGCTCTGCGCTCTCTTGGAGTGTTCACATATGAGCAAAAAATGCTGAGTTACTGCTCTAAGTCCGCTTAGAGGGCTGAAAAGTGTGAAAACACCATAAGACTATATGAGTAGACTTTGTATTTTTGTACATAGACTATTGTCTGTTTTTATGTGGTATGCTATGGACCTTGCTCTATATTCTTAATAAAGCATTACTATTATCATGTGCATAGATTATGGAATGACTAAGGCATTTTTGGTTTTATATGGAATGTTTGATCACTTATGATTGGCTCAAGCATGTTATCACTAATGCATAGCATTCATTTTTCAGCTCAATCTCAGCTGCATTTCTGCTTTATCATTGTGGTTGAAGCTGTAGAGTCATGCTGTAAATGGACTGAAGGTTTGAACTCTGCACGGTTGACGTAACACCTCAGTTTCTACTTGGTGTAAACACTTAAATCATATTTTAAAAGAGTCATTCATAAAAAATAACAATCTGCAATTAAAAATGTGACTTTTTAGGGGGTGAGGAAGAAGAACAACTTACATAATAATAGAGTAAGTGCATTTCTATATTTGGGTTTTGGAAATGACTTTCAGCGAAGCATTTTGCAGTAAGGGCTCTGACAGAAGCAGGTGGGTTTACTTGTTGTCAGCTTGCCAGTGAAAACTGCTTTTACCAGTTCAGCTCTGTGTGGCTGTTTTCCTCCACCAGAGAAGCTGTGAATATTTCTGAGCATAAATCCAACCGGTGGGTCGATACATCAGTGATTGTAAAAACAATCTCTTGTTAATGCCTCCATAATAATTTAGAGAGCACGCTCCGAGGGGGGAAACTGTAACCTCAAATGTTTATGGCTGTAAAAAGTCGTAAAAAAGCCAGAGAGAATAACGGCTGCAGTTTGATGTCACATTGCTTCTCAGGCATTTAAACAACGAATGTGAACAGTGTTGGTCAGGAAGAAGAGGACCTGCTTTTTCATTGATAACTACGAGATCTCAGTCTATCATTTAAACCTCCATCTTCATACAAAGCATGCGTTCCAACAACATGTGACCTCAGTGTTGATAAATCAGACAGATGGGCATTATATGGGCAGTGACCTAAAACACTTAACGTCTCAAACATGTCTTTTCATGCGTTTCAGTGGTTTCTCCAGAGCACCACTACAGACAAACAACATTTTTTTAAGATAGAATCAGATCCTTGAAACCAGCTTTGGTATTACAGCTCTGTCTAACTGTTCAGTTCCTCTCTCCATACACCTTGCAATGAAGTTGGGCAAGACACCTAGACCAGACCCTTTGACTGGTGAGTGAAATGATTAGAGGTGAACCTACAGGCTTTAAAGAGGAAATGGACAACTACCCTTACCTTTCACAATAAAAGCCCTAGACATGTACACCAATCAGCCAGAACATTTGAACCACTGGCCGATGAAGAGAAAAACATTGATCATCTTGTGACAATGCAATGGGCTGTTGGGAAACCTTGGGTCCTGGCATTCATGTGGATGCCACTTGATGTGCTCCACCCAACCAAACTTCATTGCAGACCAAGTAGCCTCCATCATGGCAATAACACTCCTTAACTGCTGTGCCCCAAGCAGGACAATGCAACATGCAATTCTATTAAAACTGCTCAGGAATGACCCTAGGAACGTGACAAAGAGCTCGAGGCATCAACCTGCCCTCCAAATTCCCTAGATCCCAATCTGATTGGGCGTCTGTGGGAAGTGCTGCTACCACAGAGGTACTGATCCACAGTGAGGCCTCCTATGATCGGACTTGGCTCTGGTCTGTCAAGGCATGGACACAGATCCCAGGAGGTGTCCTGTGATGTCTGGCACCTCTGAGTCATGTGGATTGTGAGGTGGGGTACCATCACGTCCCACAGATGCTCGATCAGTCTGGCGAATTTAGAGGCCATGAGCAGTTTTTATGGTGTGGCATGTTGCATTGTACTGCTGGTCAGATCCAAGTCCGATCTGCCGTGGGCCCTCTGACCTGATGAGGCATGGACACGAGACCTCTGGGAGGTGTACTGTGGTGTTACACTAAGAGGCAACACAACAAATAGCTTGAACAGTAACTGCAAAGAACATACATTCCTACTCTTTGGTAACTAGGGATAGCTACTGATAGCTACTGGGAAAAACAAAAGCACTATCCTCTTCCTGTTTTGGTTGTGCAGTGATGGTGCACTGTAATGATATTAAAGCAAAAACCTGTGTATTGCCACTTAAATTCAGACACATCACCTCAGAGCACATTCAGAAACCACATCTAGTTTCCTACCAACAGTCAACACTGATTCCTTTTAACCATCGTCACCATTTCTCCCTAACCTTAACCAAGTTGTTTTAGACTAAATCCAGCTAAACCCAAATCATAGAGGTGGTAGCTCAGACTAGGGATGCATGATAATTTCAGCACCTCATCAGTATGGGCGGATATCGTAGTATATATCAGAATCGGCCAACATGCTGAATGCTGAATGAATATTACATACATTGAAAAGCATTGTATTTCATGTCTCCATCTGCTGGTGAGCCACCATGATAAGAGTATGCATGTATAATATGATGTTAATTCCACTACAGTAGAGACTTGATGATCACTAAGATTAGGTGGGGGATAAATGGATATATCGATACCAGTTATCGGCCAAATGAGCTTTATATATCCGATATCAGCAAAAAATCAAATATCCCGCATCCCTAGTTTAGACATATCAGTCATATCAATCTTTTTATAGCAGCCATTTGTAATGGTTTTGGTAGCGACTGACCAATGATGTTGTCCCGTTGAGAGGAGTGCCAGGTCTGAAAATGTCCTGCAAGTTTGGAGGACCTGTCTGAATGAACCATTTTGCATTAAATATGAAATCGATTCAGGTTTTGATAAACAATTAATCCCATTTGACTTTGAAATCTACTGTTAACAACCCTAAAAGGCAAGCATGTTGAAGCCCCTGACAACTGTTTGTTATGATTATATGTCTTTCCTTTAATTCTGTTTTATTTATTTTTCTAGTAACTGCTGTTTTATATAACCACTGTACCTTTCACCTCTTCTCATCTCATTTAATACTTTCATTATGATGAATATCATGTTAAGAAATTTATACTGAGGCCAGTATTTTACTGAAAAGGTGTGTGCTTCCATGGGGATAATATCATGAAGTCTCGTGTCAGTGTACGGTTTTCTCACTGCCATCATCACCAGCCAGTTCAACAGATTCTCTAACTGAGGGAACTTTAAAAAAGTCCTATTATGCTAACTTTTGGTCTACTGGAATAGATTTATGTGCTTTAATGTTCAAAAAACACATCATTTTTCTTATACTGCCCATTGCTGCAGCACATCTGTCTGAAACCCTGAAACACTAAAACCAGAAGCCCAGTCTGCTCTGATTGGTCAGCTCGCATGGTCTGTTCAAAGTTCAGTTTGTTCAGTGAGTAAAAATGCTACATGAAACACTAAAGAAAAGGGAAAACCCCAAAAAGCACAATAGATCCTCTTTAAATAGAGAGGAACTCGCCAATGAGATCAGCTGCTGTTTCCAAGTCAAAGCCGCCCTTCTGCCGTGTGTTACCTGCCAAGGTGTCTTCATGTTGATGGCGATGACATGGAAGCGATAGCAGCAGAGCTCGCAGGTCCAGCAGCCCCGCTCGCTGATCCACTTCAGCAGGCAGTGCTGGTGGGTGTAACGCACCGAGCCGTCGCACCGACACGGGTTCAACAGGTCACCCTGGAGGCCAGAGAGAAGGGAAAGGTCGTATATGAACAGAAATTAAAATGGGGCCAACAAGTAGTGGGGACAAAATAACAACAGCAACTACGACAAAAAGAAATACTACAATATGGCAAAGATTTATTCATGTTTACATATAAGCAAATAATTGTATGATTCCTTGGACAGCAGTGGATTTGTACCTTCACTCCCAAAGGTGTTGATGCTGTTGCGATTCCTTCACCTCTGATCACCATCAGAGGTCAGTAAAAACTAATTTCAGTGACTTGAATCATCATAAGGAGCCTGATTTATGTTTTGTGTTTGTAACCTTTTAACAGAGGTTAAACTTTGCAAAAACACTGGTCTTTTAAAATAGGTTAGTTACTCTAGTGAGGTAAATGCCAGCTAGGATACTTAACCCGTTTGATTCCAAAATTTTCCCCAACATAAAACTATCCAAATCATCTGTCACTGATAACCCTTTGAAATAATCAATATTTATTTTTTTAAATTTTCATGGAAAAGTAGGTTTTTTTAAATTTATTTTTATTTTTTTGGATTTTATTTATTTATTTAAAAAATGGGACAATATGTATTAATAAACAATTACTTGTAAATACATGAGATTATAGCCAGGCGGCTAATTTCCGTCTCCAGTCCCATGGCAGGTTGATGTTAAACACAGAGAAGGCAACAATGCCAACAATAAGAAAATAATCTAAGTAAAACAGAGTAAGACAAGCAAAGCAACATACACAGAGACATAACAGACCAAGAGTTGGGAGACCATAGGAATTTTTAGATATCAATTTATAAAGTGCCTGAGTGCTAGTTAAAGTGATGAGTGCGAGAGTGCCAAGTGCTGAAGTGTCTGCTTGTTTAAGTACTTGTTATATTGCACATTGCTCAAAATTGCACCAAATAGTAAAGTGCTTGATTGAATTGCACGATGCCCATAGCACACAATTGCAGGTGTGTGTCTAAATATGAAGGTGAAAAAGTGTTTTATGGTCGGTCACAATGGTGACCAGTGGGATAATGTGCTGCATCTACCATTTATTGACAAAATTAACATGATCTCCCATGCAATCTGCAAAAGTCATATATATCCGAGCTCAGTTATTAACACATCTGTCACTTGCAGTTCCCAGCATTGCCACTAGAATGCTAGCGTGCATATATCACCACTTTGTCAATGGCTTTTCACATTTACATATTTACATATATATGATGTCCAAGGACAAGCTATCAATACCATGACATCAATAAAAACATATGATTGGGTTTAGGCAACAAAAACACGTGGTTATACGTTTACAAAAAATCATCTTGGTTTGGCATTCGGGAAGCAGACGCTTGGCTCCCAGGTGAAAGTCATGGGTTTGTTGGACCAATCCACCATCCCTCCTACCCACTCTATACGAACTTTCCCGCTCCTTATATCAGGTCATCACCAGCAGCATTTCAACCTGATTGCGCATCAATTTAAACTGCAAAAACACTGGTATTTTAAAATCAGTAACTCCTCCAAAATAAATGCCACCTAGCATGAAGGTCATGATACCCTAAGTAAATGAAATGACAGCAGAAATTACAGGGGGAAAAGATATCTCCATACGACTGCATGCTTTGCACAAGTAACGGTGGTACAAAGTTAAACTTGTAAACTGCAAAAATTCTGGTCTTTTAAAGTCAGTTAGTTACTCTAACAAGAACCCTGTCGTCTTAAACAGTGTTCTTATTAACAGCAGAAGGAGTTCAAACTCTGTCCTGGCTTTAACAACAAGCACAGAGGCTTCAGATTTCAGCCTGTTTCATCATTTAATCATCTGTAAAGAAGCTTTCCTTTGGCACGCAGGTAACAATGTAACATGGAGGCAGCGACACAAAGACTCCTATAATATTAATATTCCTATCTTGTCTGGTGTTTCTATTATCTTGACCACTCTCTGTAGCACCAGTGACAGATTAAACCTCAGAATCTTCTCAGAAATAGAAAGAAACTATCTGCTTTTGGGTCGATAGTAGAACAGTCTTCCCAATATTAATCTTCCATCCATTCTCAAGGTCTACGTGTCAACTTTCCCATCATCTAAAAATCCTTTCTTTAAGGCCTCACTTTGGCCTTTTCTCCCAGCAGGTCATACATCAAAGAAAATACACGACTTGTTCACCAGAGGGCTTTACCAGAATCGCTCAGATCAATGATCATTTCTCAAAGCTACAATACTCGCGGATATTAACGGCAGGATGCAGCTTGACATTAATCATCACAGCCGTATCTATTTGTTCGGCTGTTTTTTTTTTTCCCCCCCCTTCCTCGAGGCATTCCTTAAGCAGCCATTACTGTAGCTTTGACCCGCCAGCAGGGCTGTGAGTGGCATATTAATAGTATATTAAGGTCAGTGGTCAGGCAGCTCGTTTTTCATCATGTCATATTAACCTTGTGGGTTTAAAAGGACCTCGGAGGCTTTCGCTTGACTTAACTGAAGCAGGTCAACAATCCACTGAAGCCGTGATTGATAAAACCAACATCAAGGAGGATTTTAATATGTTTCAGAAGTCACTGAAGGGACATCTGATGAAAGCATTCTACCTATTTTAGTACTTTAAAGGCCAATGGATTCTGGAATCTACTTGAAGGTCAACAAGGCGTCAACTGAGGGGTGTTTATGGGAGTATACTATATCCGTGTTTTTCTTTATGACTACAGAGAGGCAGGAAACATGGAGGGAGAAAGGGGGAGATGACATACACCGAAGATTCTCTGTTGGGAATCAAATCTATAATATTGCAGATACATGGTATATGTTCTTCACTGCTCGACCACCCCGTTAAAAACACAATATGGTACATGAAATTTCAATTTTGTCCCTGAAAATAGCAGCTTTAGATCAGAAACATCTTAACTCAAGGTTAACTTACGAGCTTTTTACATTGCTTTCAATATAATGTCATGGTCTTCATCGGTGCACAGTTTTTATGTGGCCAAAAGCTATTCTAAAAGTTAATAAGTGGACCTTGAGTCAAGATTATTTTGCTAAAATAGTGTAATAATTTCCCCAACAGTTTCAGCTCAAGGTCAACTTACTCACTTGTTCTGGAGCTTTCGAGCAAATCTCACAGCCTTCACCAGCAGATGGAGTTAGCAATGAAAAGGAGTTTGTCAATTCCCCGATTCAGCTCTCGAAAAAGCTAATAAGTGGACCTTGAGTTAACATTACATTGTTGAAATAGTGTAATAGTTTCCCTAACAGTCTCAACTCGAGGTCCCCTTCTGGAGCTTTCGAGCGAATCTCACAGCCTTCATCAGGAGATGAGGAGGAGTTTGTCAATGAGCTGGACCCTGGGTTAAGATTATTTTGTTAAAATAGCATGATCTTTTCATAAACAGACTCAATTCAAGGTCCACTTACTCACTTGTTCTGGCCCTTTTGACCGTATGTCACAGTCTTCATCCAAAGATGGAGTTAGCAATGTAGAGTTTGTCAATTAGCTCCCAAAAAAGCCAATAATTGGAGCTCAGGTTAAGATAAGAAGCTAGGATAATTTTCAAGACAGTCTCAACTCAAGGTCCACTTATTCACTTGTTCTGGAGCTTTTGACTGTAGTACATTGTCCTCATCAGCAGACACAATATGAAATGCAGTTAAAAGCCCCTTAAAAAGATAGTAAGCTCTCCTTAAATTCATATAATTTTGTTTAAGAACTGTAATAATTTACAGAATTAATCAAGGGTCATTTAAAGAGGACCATGAGATGTGGTTTTAATCTAGTTAAAAGTCTAGTCAGTGAACCTTTAGTTTATTTAAGACTGTTCGTCCATGTTGGCAGCAGATGTTGGCCGCTGTTTTAACTATGAAGCACGAGTTTAGATTTTGTCAACTGCTGTTTCCAAAGTTAGGAAGGATCTCTTAAGTTCAACTGTGATCGAAATTCAAAACAGCAATCCACTGACGCTAATTTGGCCTTTTCTGGTGTCAAATAACATTTCATTCTCACTCTATCTGCACAGACATGAATATTTAGAGTGTCAAATTTCTGTTTTGCAATCTTCTTGATAACTGGTGAGCTTGCCCAGCCTGCGGCCTTGTATCAAAATCAAATATCAGTCTGGACCCGGAGGCAGAGCTATTAGATTAGCTCTGCTAATAGGCTATAGCCCACGTTCAGAAGACAGGATATTCACTTAGGCATTTACAGCCCTGACTCCTCTCTTTCCCTTAAGCTCTGGCGGGGATGAATCGTCCCTCATCGAGGCTTGCTGTCATGAGCCAAATAGGCCTGCAGAGTGTCTGATTTCAGAGACGGATGGACAGAGGGTCCATTTGTCCCTGAAGGTCTACATCTGTCCATTCACTCCATAAAGACACGCAGACAGTCAGACTGATGCATCCACTGAGGATGATATTTGTTATACATAGATTATATTTCGATCTTTGTCATCCACTTCTGATATGATGGATGTAATGCAGTTTGTTTCATTGTGTATTGATCGTAAAGCTGACCGATACTACCTCAGTTATTGATGGGAAGACCTGAACTGTATGGAAGCCCATTTCTGCCCGTTGTGTGATGATAAAAATAAATAAATACTGTAACTCAATATAATGAGAAACTTTCTCAAAATAATGAATTAATATCTCAGAATAATGAGGAACTTTCTTAAAATTATAAGAAACTTTATCAAAATAATGAGTTGGTATCACAAAATAATGAGAAACTCTCAAAATAGAAAACTTTTTAAAAATAATAACTGACAAAAATAATGAGCAGCATTCTCAAAATAATGACTTCATGTCTCTAAATAATAAGACACTTGCTCAAAAATTAGTAATGTCTTAACAAAACATCAATCAAAACAATGACTCTATATCTCAAAATAATGAGAATCTCTTAAAGTGAAAAGAAACTTTCTCAAACTAATGACCTAGTATGTCAAAATAATATTTTTCATTACCAAAATATTGACCTCATGTCTCTAAATAATGAGAAACTTTTAAAAAAATGAGAAA